CGCGCAGGCTCTTGAGGCTCCCGATCGTCTTTCGTGGCCTCAATAAACACGACGCTCTCTAAGCAAGAGAGCTCAAAAGAACCTTTTATGTTATCGCGGCTAAAGCCATTAAATCCTTGTTCACGGCTTTAACCCATTTATTCGTCTCTATAAACAAAATTGCTTTTTACGGGCTTTAGTTAGTAACTGTTAGATAAGTAAATATAAGATGAAGCTTATTCTTTATCTAAGTGTCAAAGCTGTAAAAAAGCAAAGTCATTTTACGAGGATTTTGTCCCAAACAAATTAAATCCCCTAGATACGTTGTGCAGATGTTCATGCTACTTCTAATACAAAAAAAGTTAATCAGTCGCAGCGTAAATAGAGAACTTAATGCAAAAATAGCCTTGTCTTGTGATTGGTCCAATTCAACAATTCTAAACCAATTATTTAAATAATTTCACGAACAGGGAAGGATTAATTAAAGGGTGATTGATCGAATATCGACTGATCACAGAGAGGCCTTCACTAACACCTTCGTTTGGAAGAAGCCGAAGATGAGACACTGTCCTCATCTACAGCCTGGCGTGTAAGCTGCTTACAAGTCCTCTTTGAACGTCATCTTTTTGTCAGACAAGACTCTATCGTCTTTTAAAGGTATTCTTCTAGAAGCATTTTCTTGCGTTGTAAGTAGAACGTCATCTTAAAGGAAGTCAAATACCCCCTGTGGGAAAAAAAATGATGAACCACTTAATCGATTCGGGCTGCTTTCAGGTTGAAATTGTTGGTTATTGTTCTCTAAGGTCCTGTGTTATTTGTTCGGAGGTCAGAAACATCCTGTCTCAAGAATCCGGGACGAAGCACTGAAAACTCAGTGCTGTGGAAAAGAGGTAACCTGCATTATATTTGGCAGGATACTTTAATTTATGAGAGAAATACTTGGCATGCGTTATTACAATGTCGTCGACGCACTTGGCTCACAGAAAAGAGCCAACACGTACAGACTCGTTCTCTTCTATTTTACCCTAAGATACCCGTTTTTTGAGGGGAGCGAGAAAACTCAAACAAACTGTCAGTACTTTTGTATTATCTCTTTCTTTTTCTGCTTCGTCTTTTTAGCTTCTTTTTATGTCCTTTCCTTCCTTTTCGATCTCCTATGAGGCTCGCGCGCTTCTCGCGAGAGAGACCCTTACCGCCGCTACTCTTACGCTTCGCCAGACCGATTTTGACAGAAAATACCGACTTGTCATGATATGTGTAGTGGTCACTTTAGATCACTTTTGAAAATGTATGTTGANTCTCAAGAATCCGGGACGAAGCACTGAAAACTCAGTGCTGTGGAAAAGAGGTAACCTGCATTATATTTGGCAGGATACTTTAATTTATGAGAGAAATACTTGGCATGCGTTATTACAATGTCGTCGACGCACTTGGCTCACAGAAAAGAGCCAACACGTACAGACTCGTTCTCTTCTATTTTACCCTAAGATACCCGTTTTTTGAGGGGAGCGAGAAAACTCAAACAAACTGTCAGTACTTTTGTATTATCTCTTTCTTTTTCTGCTTCGTCTTTTTAGCTTCTTTTTATGTCCTTTCCTTCCTTTTCGATCTCCTATGAGGCTCGCGCGCTTCTCGCGAGAGAGACCCTTACCGCCGCTACTCTTACGCTTCGCCAGACCGATTTTGACAGAAAATACCGACTTGTCATGATATGTGTAGTGGTCACTTTAGATCACTTTTGAAAATGTATGTTGACTAGCAAACGAAATGTCAAGTTTATATAAAAATGTGAAAGCCCACAATGTGACCGCTGTTTGTGTTTTATTTCTGATTAAACTACGATAGCCCAAGAACAAAAGTCTTTAAAATACCGACTATTTTTGCAGTCTAACCTAATAGCTGAGCGCATGGTACAGTGGGCTCAGTTATGACCATCGGTTTATCAAAAAAAAGGAATGCTTGCACTCGAAGAAAAAGCAGTTTGACAAGAGAGAACAAAACTGATTAGTCCACTGAGTTTTGCGCTGTGGCAGCCTCAAAGGCTAGACGTGATTCAGGCAGAGCCTGCTTTTCTCTTCATCGATCGAGAAGACAAAAGGAAGCTCTCCTTGTATGCTGCGCACGATTAAGCGTTCAAATTAATGGATATTTTCTTTTTTTTCCTCCTCTACTTCCAACAGGTATTCACGAGCAACAAGGAAATACGGAAGAACAAAAGAGAAGGACAACAACAGAATTCAAGATGTATATAACATCCGAGTGTATCGCCTGGCATGCTGTATCCGTAACGGAGTCAGTTATCATCGTATCTGTCAACCTTCTTACAATCATTGTCTTTATAAGGAACAAAAACCTTCGCAAAAGAAGCACGTGCTTGGTTATAAACTTGACCGTAGTCGACATGTTGGTTGGTGTACTTTTCGGGGTTCCTCAATTCCCTTTTTTCAGCTTGTAACGTATTTGTAGATTTCGTATTTTGGTATCGTTGACAGCACCTGTGCTCTTGCCAGTATATTATTGTATGTGTCTATTCGTTATCTGTGTTTGTTACACTTGTATCTCAATCAAATGTTTTTGTGGAGCGCATCCTCAGCACCATGGTGGAGCCAACAGACAAAGAAAACTGACTGTGACATTGCTCATAATGACTATTGTATCTTTATTTATGTTGCTACCATTTGTTCTCGGTCTTTTCCTTTTTGTGACTCACAAAAGGTCAGGTTTATTTCGTTCTCCTTTTTATATGAGTGCCACGTTTTTTTTGTCTGGTGCAAATTCTTTTGTAAATCCCATTCTATATACTTTAAGAATTCCAGAGTTTAAAAAAGCTCTGATCTCATTATTTAGACGTCAAAGAAATGAAAATTTTGTAATCCCACTTCAACATTAATATTACTAAAACATACGGTGTCAAATCGGTGGGGACCCTTTCGAACGTTATGAGGAAGGGTGTGTAAGATTTTTGTATTCTTGTACGCGTTTAATAATATGATTACAACATTCTCACCTCTTGCTTTGTATTCTTGTTTGGTTATTTTT